ATTACCTTGAAGGATAAAGAAGATAAGACAGTCACAATCATTGGAAATTTTGTTCGTATCGATAATGGTGAAACAGAGCCAATGCTATTTTTTGGTATGTCTAACATTCGAAAGATTCAAGGCGTCCCCGAGCCAAATAAAAACCAGTTCCGCATAAAATTACATGGAAAGGCATATATTATCCCAACCTTTAGCAAGGCTCCAGTAGCCAAGAATCCACCAAAAGATCAGGAATCATCATTCGAAATGCCTCTCAGCTCTCAGGTTTCAGCTAATTCTTCTAATCCGACTAGTGAAGAGGACTTAAAAAAAAGTGCAAAGAGCTTGAAAAGCGCCTCATAAAGACTGAAGAAATGCTCTATTTGGCCTTAAATACCGGTAAATTTCTTGCCGATACATGTGAATCTTTATATAAGGGGAGTGGTATTAGCTGTTAAACCCTTAAGCTTTTCACCACGATTAACTAGATTTTTAAGAAGAGATTCCACCCTATCTTCTCGGAATGTATCAGATGAATTATCAGAGGAAGAGACCGCACCATTTTTGTTATTTTTTTCCACCATACTACTTGCTCCAGTAACCAGCTTCTCATCTATTTTAACCTTCTTTTTTCGTCCATTCTTTTTTGGAATCTCTGTAGCCGGAAGGGGTATAGATGATACTTCTGATACCGATTCAAGAGTCTGTTCTGTCTTATCAGTTTGGGAATTTTTATCCAAAGCAAGCTGATCAAGCCCTTGCTGGAGGCGTTCTTTATTATCCCATATTTCATAAACACGCTTAAGTCCGATATGGAATTTTTTAGCCATTTTTCTTGGTGCACTGGGTATCTTACCTCTGGATTCTCTAATTTCCTTAATATCAGCTTCCGTTAATATGGTTGCTTTAGCGTCATAAAATGTATCATGGATACGGGCTACCATCTTCACTTGATTTTAAATACTATAAAAAAAATATTATTTTTAATAAATATCAATATGTATCAATATATATCAATATTTGACGATTTCAATACATATTGATGCTTTTCAATACAAGTCAATGCTTTTCAATACATATTGATATTTTTCAATACAAGTCAGTACTTTTCGATACATATTGATGCTTTTCAATACATACTGGTGTATTTCAATGTATATCAGTATTATTTTTTTGCCAAAAGTAAAAAAAAATACCAATAAAATGCTCCAGATCCGTACCTTAAAAGATCTGGATAATGGTAATAAACTTGGAGATTCTTCAGCTAATTATTATCCTTCCAGTCGAACAGAGCTTGAAGAATAACTTTCTTGTGCAAAAAAAGACCGTGAAGTTGTTATATATTGGGGAAGCCAGTTTGCGGATAACTATGATGTCTTAGATAGGGAAAATAAGCGTATGCAGGATGATTTTGATAAATCCAAAAATGAAAATAAAAAACTTTCCGATCGGATGCACCAACTTGGAGAAGAGATAAGACAATTGTATTCAGAAAAAAATGAGCTTATGCTTCAGATTACTCACAAGAATATTTCTCTTGCAGATGCTGAAAGCAAATTCTCTATAAAATCAGAGAAGATTCAAGCCTTCCAATCCAAGATGAAGGAAGAGATACAGGCTCTCCAAACTAGGATAGAGGTATTAGAGCGGGATCTTTTTTCAGCATGGGAGGAGTTGTTAGAAATGAAATCTCTCCAATCTAGGGCAGAGGAATTAGAGCGAGATCTTTCTTTAGCACAGGAGGAGTTATCAGAAATTGAATCTCTTAGGCCTAAATGGGAACTAAGAAATGTTGAACTATTTACTAAAAATATTGATCTAGATTTGGAGAAAAGAGATTTAGAAGATACATTGATCAAAAA